AATGAAGCGATTTACACGATCCATGGCATTCTAGATCCAAAAATAAAAATTGGATTAAAAATAATTTTATTTATCAAATATTGACAAGTGAAGTATTGTTGGATTTATAATATCATTTATACAGGATGTCCTATTTAAAAATTGAAAGTTGGGGTTACTTCCAGTGAAACCGGAAGTACGGCAAAGCAAGTAAATATGTCAAAAAATGTAAATTGATCTGTAATACACAACCCCCCAAATTTCGTTTTTCTATCTTCAATAATAAAAAAGTTATAGGGGTGAGCTACCGTAGAGAATCACCCGGTATATTTGAAAGATGTGAGGTCATTCAGTTGTACATATCACCTGAGAATATTAAACCACAATATTACATACGATCATAGAAATACAAAAAATGATATAAATGAAAAGCTCTATAAGCAAAATATTACGGTCAGGTATTTCAAAGAACTCCTATAAATCTCAGTTAAGATATAGTATTAATTATAAAAGTTATTCTAGACCAAATATAATCATTTTTAACAATTTACGTTCACATGTAGGTATCAAAATGAGTATTCCATGTTTTTATAAGAACAAAGCAACAACTGTATAGTAAGTAGTTGTTAACAATTTGATAACATACCTGTTTCCAAAGATATACTTAGTTACTTATTATTTTTGAGATAAGGGGAATTTCACAAATAATCATTAAGAATGATGCAAACAACACATTTAGGTATACATTTTTCTATTATTTGACATTTAGATCTTCAATATTCCTAGATTACTAGGATTTGGATAAATGAATGACTGCTAAATAACAACAACTAAAAAACATTCCAGAGGAATGTCCTAGTTATTATTAGACAAAAAATTTACTCAAAGAACTTTCTGATACTAGAAAATATCATAAAATAAAAGTTTCATTCTACACTTCAATAATCCAGTACAGATCTTCATACAGATCAGAGTCTAAAATATTAGGAGTTAGAATTTTGGAAATTTCATATAACAACCGATTTCTTTCACTCTTGTCACAAAATCAAATATTTGAAGGCTCCTCGTATACTACGTGTGTGTACGTATAATTTGAAACATTTTTATTTTTACAATAATATACCGACTGAGGAAAATGTATGGAAACCCCTAGAAAACTATAATAAGCCTGATTCAACGAGGAATCTAACGGTCTACTTGTACTTGAACTTGAACCCTAATTTCAAGGTCACCTCAATGTTAATTTTTGCTTTTTTTATGGGTACCCTCATAACTGGCCTCGGAATCGAAAACAGTGGAAAATTTCATGTTCAAATATATATTCATTTCGAGAGTTGAATAAAGGTCAAAGACTCATACTTTATCATAACGTTTTATTCTTCTTTTTCTCTTTTTTTATGCTCATTGCTTTTTTTACGGCGCAGTAGACCAGTCTCCTCCAAATTATTCTCTATAATCAACATTTACAATTCACTTCCCCAAAATTTGAAAAAAAAATAGAAATTAATGCTTATTAAAAAAATATCTCAAAGCATATATTTTCCGAATCTGATGTGGAATATTTCATAATTATTTTCTCAATATTTCTCATTTCTGATTAAACCACTGACAACTTAAAAAAATTACAGTTTTCTTCTCTTGTACAGTTTAAGTTAGTATACTTTGTATTTNGCTTGGACTCTCCTATTATCACAGAAGTAGTTATGTTTGCTGATTTGAAACATTCAGTATACGAGATGTTTCTTTTATCATGTGGTAACATTGCTATATTCTGAACCGTAACAGATACGAAGACGATTAAATGGGAAAAAAAGCAATTGTCATCGGGAACAATACAATAGTTGAAGAAAATTCACGAAGACCCTTGACCTTCTCGAGTTACAGGAGGAAAACCAAAAATGATGTTTTTGATTTTTTCGAATGGAATGTTATTTCAAAAAATGGAAAGGAAAAATATAACTGTATTCGAAGTAACTATGGCGATGTAATGATAAATATTCGATAAAACGTTTCGTATCAACATGGCCACCATCAACTTTTTTTTCAATACGGACCTGTCTTTTTTATTACAGATATTGATAAAGCCATAAAATCACAATCCAAGGGTATATCACATTTGATATTTTTGTAGCATTCCATTTGAAATAACCATTTGAAATAACCACCGTCATCAGTGACAACAATCGAACAATTTATTTTATCATGAACTTTTGGGAAAAATGAAACCAATACGGAAAATCAAAGCTACATGGCAATCTACAATATATGCTCGAATTGACGACCTCATTGTTCAAAACGCCTGAGTTGTCGGTCTAGGCAATTTCTGTGGCAGTTTTCTAGCATAATAGGTGTATTTCTAATACATGCATCTCTTATTTTTTGTTTGAGATGGTCGATATCTGTACTTGGTGTTGAAAAACTTTATACTTTATGTATCCCCAGACAAAAAAATCTAAAGAAGTAAGATCTGGGGATCGAGCTGGCCAGTTAATTGATCCATTGTTTCTAATCTATTTTCTTGGGACTATTGCATCTAAATAATTTCTTACTATTGCTGCATTATGGGGAGGAGCGCCGTCCTTTTGAAAATATTTTATTTTATGGCGGATATTCAGTGGCAATTCTTCTAAGTAGCCATCGAATTCATTGAATAGATAATGAAAATCAATTTTACTATTCAAATGATCATCGTGAAAGAAAGGACCAAGGATGTTTGTTTCCACAATTCCCAACCAAACATTTATTCCCAACCTTTCTTGGAAATTGGTTTTCCTATGTAAATGTTCATTTGATTTATTCCCCTTATAATGGATATTTTTGTTGAACCAACCATTTTTGGTGAATTTTGATTCGTCCGCCCATATTATCTTTTCACAAATATTTCCAACTTCCCTATTTCTACGTCTTAATCACTTCGCAAATCGTACTCTCCTTCGGTAATCCCTTTCATTGAGCTGATGAGCTTTGCGTATCCTGCAGCATTTATATTTATTCTTTTTCAAAATAGTTCTGGTGGAAACAGAACTTCCCATTTGATGGGCAATTTCTCGCAAAGAACAATCTTGATTAGCATAATTTTTGTAACTGGCCAATCCTAAATAAAAAAAAAATGTTTTCACTGTGTACATTTTTATGTGGTAATATTTGCTTACTCATAACATTTATTTCATTCCTCACACTTTCAGTAACCACACATTTTCTTGTTTCTTTCTGTCAAATGCACCATTGTCCCTCAAATTTCTTTGTAAACATTTGGATTTTCAGAATACGACGATTCGGGTATAGCTCAACATACATATTCCTTGCCAAAAAAGGATTTCTATTTGATTTTCCTTAACTAAATAGCATATCAGTCCTTTCATCATTTGAATACATCTTTGACATGTTCATAAACGTCTGACAGTTCTCAACGCATATCAAGAACGCATTCATTTTTCCTGCCATAGAAATCAAGCAAAGGCTACGCATTTAAGGTAAATGAATTGAGATGCTATTTGATCATACTTAATTATACAACAATCGAATTTTGACTAAAAACTGACATAAGCCTTGAAAGAAGGATTTCGGCAATACAAAAATTTCCAAAACGTAAAAGTACGAATTTTCATTGTGTTAGGGTACCTACCTGTCGAATTTATTGGGTTGTTTGAATTATATATTGAAGAAATCGAACAATTTACAAAAGTAGTAACGACAGGACCGTAATTTAAAATTGTTGTTACTGATGATGGTAGTTATTTCAAATGAAACGCTATAAAAATATCAAATGTGATATACCCTTGGATTGTGAATTCATTACTTTATCAATATATGTAATAAAAAAGACAGGTCCATATTAAAAAAAAGTTGATGGTGACCATGTTGACACGAAACGTTTTATCTAATATTTATTATTACATCGTCATAGTACACTTCGAATACAAACACATTTTCCATTTTTTGATATTCTACGTTTTCCCCGTATAACTCGAGAAGGGCGGGAGTCCCCGTAAATTTTCTTCGACCATTGTATTCCGATGACAGGAATCATACGTTAAAAAGTAAGACCTCGTTAGTCCTTAGCTCGCACAAGTTTCTCAACTCCTGAGAGTTGTCGTTCGTATGGAGGCGACAGCCGATTAACGGAAAAACAGATTTTTAACAGATTTTTAAACAGTTATCTTTTTTCCCATTTAATCGTCTTCGTATCTGTTGCAGTTTAGAATATAGCAATGTTACCACATGATAAAAGAAACGGCTCAAATGAATAAAAATATCAAATGTGATATACCCTTGGATTGTAAATTCATTATTTTATCAATATATGTAATAAAAAAGACAGAACCGTATTAAAAAAAAAGTTGATGGTGACCATGTTGACACGAAACGTTTTATCGAATATTTATTATTACATCGTCATACTACACTTCGAATACAATAACATTTTTCATTTTTTGATATTCTACGTAATAACAATTCCATTTGAAAAAAACGAAAAACAACATTTTTCGTATTCCCCGTATAACTCGAGAAGGGCGTGAGTACCCGTAAATTTTCTTCGACCATTGCATTCCGATGACAGGAATCATACGTTAAAAGGTAAGACCTCGTTAGTCCTTAGCTCGCACAAGTTTTTCAACTCCTGAGAGTTGTCGTTCCTATGGGGGCGACAGCTGATTAACGGAAAAACAGATTTTTAAACAGTTATTTTTTTTCCCATTTAATCGTCTTCGTATCTGTTGCAGTTTAGAATATAGCAATGTTACCACATGATAAAAGAAACGGCCTATATATATAATTACCAGTGCGTAAAGACATTTCGAATCGCAAAGAAATAAGAGACAATTTTTTCACATCCCGACTTCCTGAAATAAACTTTGATGTCTTTCTACCTCCGGTACTCTAAACAAAAACTACCCTTACTCCTAAATCCCTTAACCCAACATAAACAACATCGCACCTTTGATAAATCGATATTCCCTATGCAAGCAGCGCATATTCACTTGAGATAGCATCTCCTAAAAACATAAACAGATACATACCGTCATAATAAATCGATTCTTTAGACGAATTTCGAAAATCCTTTCTCTAAAAGAGCAGTCGTCCGTGTTGAGTACTGTCACTTTTGTTTGTTGTTACTTATTACACAAACAATCGAGAATCGCGAGAGTGTGATTCACATCGCCATAGGCGGCTGTGCACCGAATACAGTACAACTCTACCAACGTGCGCGCACAAACTGACAACAATTGACCATCTACTGGGGAAGATACAAACAAGCAGTGCGCTAGTAGTAGGTGATTTCCTGTTTCCTGCTTTTCATCTTCGGGCGCTGCGTCTCCTGGAGGCTGGTGTGCTGGACCAGGAGATGCTGATGGAAAAATGAACTGAAAATTTAGGTGACATACATACTTTCTAAATTCAATAAATCAATCAATTTATTCAATTCAGTTGAATGTTATGAGAATCAAATGGTCATAGTGCATCGTAGAGTTCCCAATTAGACTTTCATTAAAATACGATTTACAAAATTAGAATTCAACAAAAGTCAATGTACAATTAATTATTCGTTTTAATAAAAAAAATCAAATGGTCATAGTGCATCGTAGAGTTCCCAATTAGACTTTCATTAAAATACGATTTACAAAATTAGAATTTAACAAAAGTCAATGTACAATTAATTAAGTATTCGTTTTAATAAATAAAAAAAATACATTTCATTATAAAATACAAATGCCATAAAGGATTTTTTCTGTTTCTGTTTGAGTTTATCAGAAAATTTATATTTCAACCTGACGCATCGTGTTGAAGGCTGGTTTTTCCATTTCCTTCTGTCAAAGAGGTTTACCGTACAACAAATGCCATATAGGATTTTTTCTGTTTGAGTTTATCAGAAAATTTATATTTCAACCTGACGCATCGTGTTGAAGGCTGGTTTTTCCATTTCCTTCTGTCGAAGAGGTTTACCGTACAACAATACTGTCGGCTTTCGGTTGCGGCTTCTGCGACAGGCATTATCAATAGTATATGCGTTAACTGCGAAAACGAAATTTAAACCTGGAAGTCTCAGCAATGAGTGACCCACAAAAAAGTCGTTGCTGAGACTTCGAGATATACGAGTAACTTTCGTCAACATATAAACCACTGATGATATCTGTTACAGTAGCAGACGAAACGTTTGCTACTTCAGGTTCCGTTCGGACAGGGTCTACTAGCCTGGATTTTTTTTCTCTTCAACTGTCAAAAATCTGCGTGGTATTTGAAATACCACGAGAAAATGACATTGTACTTGATTGTGGAGAGATTAGACTAAATCATTAATAGGACTAACGGCAGTCGTATGATGAATTTTGTCAATCTCTGCATGTCGGCATGAGTTCAATTCCCACGCATTGAAAAATCCATAAAACCACCGCATTGCCGAGCCGAGCAGCACCAGTTCTTTCAGTAATTCAATATTTCGTATCTACCTAGTGCCATGTACGGTCATACTTGTGAATTATACTTTCACATGCACTTCTTCAAATATGAAACTCTTTTCACACCTTAGATCGATAAATTTGGAAGTTGAGAGGTCAAGAGCTAAGTAGTTTCAAGGAATACATGATAATTTCTGAATAGGGTGACAGTATGAATACTTTTATGAACCAGAAAAGATACAGGGTGAGTCAACAAGATTCCCTCGGTCCATTGCTACCACAGGAAACATACTGCATATTGGCATACTCTCGCTTACTGGCTGAATGCGAGAAAATAATTTTGAAAGATAGTATTTATCGATATGACTGCGAAACAAATTGAGCCATTCGAAAAATTGTTTTCCCTGATAGCAATGGACCGGGGGAATCTTGTTGACTCACCCTCTATATACATAAATTACACCCATATTTTTTTTAAATGGAATTTCTTATTTGGTATTTTATTCTAAAGAGTTTGGCACTTGTGATGTGTTTTTCAATCTGAAATGATACTTTTTGAGATCTTTTCCCCTGGAAGTTGATAAAATATTACTCGATATACCAAAAAAATATGAAAGATACTCACACACTATCTTCAAGGTACTTATCCATCAATAACCAAAAAAATCCGTGGGAAACTCCAAAAAGAGAAACAAAAAAACTACAATGAAACTGGTCATGAAGAGCGTACACAGAACTTTCTTTCAAATACAAAAAAAAAGAAAACAAAAACCCCTTCGAAACACTTTATCACTCTGAACTTGAACACTTCCCGTGGAAGTATCTATAGAAGAGCGACAAATCTCCAACCTTTCTTCAATGTTCCAGGCTATCAAGATTGCACGTGATGTTCGCGTCTCCAATCAGGTGGATGACTCTTTTCTGGTAGGAGTCCAGCATCTTCAGGATATATTTGAGGGCGGAGCTCCATACAAGAGAACAATACTCCAAAGAAGGTCTAAAATGAGCTTTATAAAGCAGCAAAACTTGCTGAGGTGTGTACATTTTTCTGGTTCTGAACAGTGTTCCAAGCTTTTGAGAAGCAGCCTTTGCAATTCCAGCGACGTGATTGTGCCAAAACAACTCCTAACAAACTTATCGAAGCGGAAAGCGGAATTGTCTGACCTGACATTATTATATCCGGTTCGGAGACATTTATCTTCTTGGAGAAAACCGATGCCAATTGAACCTGGTTTCTTTCACCACAATTCGAAATCACTTCTAGATCCTCACTGAGATATGCAACTTCCTGCTGCCGGTGAAGATGTGCCTCCGTAGCCGATGTCCTGGAATCCAAATGGAATAACGGGACAAGTGTGCTGTCATCAGCAAAGGAATATATTGGATTCTTGGTTTTTTCTAATAAGTCTTTGAAATACAATAAAAAGAGAAGTTGCAGACAATATGTCTCCCTAAGGAACACCAGCGTTGATGGTGAAAGTATTCGAGAGATATCCATCGACGGCCACTTGCAGGAAACTTTCTTTTAGGAAACTGGAGAGCCATACACAGAAATGATTCGACAAGTCATAGCATCGAAGTTTGGCCAGCAAACCCTCATGCCACACATGGTCAAATGCCTTAGAAGAATCAAGCGCAAAAGCACTTGATTCTCCATGTTTTTCGATTGCGTTATCCCAAATATGGGTGAAATACGATAGAAGGTAGCCTGTTGATCTTTGTTTTCCGAAAGCCATATTGATGATCGCTCAGGATGTTGGAGCCTTCCAAATATTTTAGGATATGGTGGTTTACGACTTTCTCCATGATATGTAATATTACTGGAAGCAATAGTATGATATAACAAGGAATCGAAACAATGCCGATATTGTATTTGAAGTCAGTTCTAAAATTGTTGCAATGTAGATACAAATGTCAAGAGTCATTTTTACTAAATTATTTAGATGGTAGGTTAGAAACGAAAATAATTCTTTCGTTTCTCTTTTAACAATTCTTGTTGTGACTTTTTTTAGAAATGGAGATCAATTTAGTGAAAAATTACATGACCAACACACTTTAGGTGAAAAGATATGAGAATTCATCTTAAATTTATCCGAGTTATGTTGTATAACTCATCCAAAAAATGTTTAACTAGAAATCTAAAAGGGTCGATTGCCTGCTCATTTCAAAAGTATTCAGTCCAGCTAACTTTCTACTAGGTAAATTGAAGGTACACAAAGAAAGCCTCAGCTACGAAGTTTTGTTATCTTCAACCGTTACCTGCAAATCATACAATACGGCATAAAACACAAAGTTATATATCATATCGTCCTGTTTTTCTACAACTGAAATTTTCTTTGATTTTCAGACCGTTTGTTTACATGTTTACATTATTAAAAAGTTTTAACGATTTCAATTATTTNAGCGAACTCTGTTTGCAAAAACACAGACAATACACCGAAACCTTTTGATCTTTCCGCCTGCCGATGGGACATTTCTTTGTTGACAAAACAGTCGCCCTCGACACAAAGTTTTCAAAATGTTTCTTATTTTGACAACTTACGTTTTTGTTTTGTCGAAATCGGCACTGTTGCTGTTTTGTTGTGGTTCTGTCCGTTTGGTTGTGTTATCACAATTGACACAAATGTCCTGTTTCAAAAATAATCAACTGTTTTTGCTTTTAATTACTTTTTTGATCACTTAGCATGTTCAAATTGTTGTTCATGGTTTGTTTATAAAAAAAGACGATTCTGACATTGATAATGATTTTGAAAAAGTTATAAAAATGAAGATTGACTTGAAACGTTTAATTCCTGGCTTATTTCGACTTTGAATCAAAGGATTTCACAGCAGGACTGACTAGTCCGAACATTAGTCAGTCCTTCGAGGAAAAGAAAAAGAATCAAAAGTATTCTATTACAATACGTCTATGCCAAATCTGGGGAGGAGTGAGAGAAAAACTAAAGGAGTTCCTCCTGAAAGATATAGTGACGTATGCTATGACCCACGACAAGTTTCGGAGTTGATTTGGAAATGACGCTACAAGAAAAAGTTGCTGAGTGGAATATTGAAGAAACAGAAAATAAAACCGATTTCGTACCGACAAACAATTTTATTACGATGACTACAGATAATTTCAACCAGATTTTAGACGTTCTGAAGATGAATAAATCAAAATGTTCTGAAAAAACAGACAATGTTAAATCAAATTTACCGATTTTCGATGGGACTGGCCTTTGTTCTACAGTCAGTTCGAACGTTCCGCCAAATATTTTGATATATTTATGTGAAATATAATCCGTCTACAAAGATGTTTAAAAGGAAGGGCTAGAGATGCAATACAATAGGGTTATGATAATGTCCACTCGATATTGTTATCATATCTTGACATGTGACAATTTTTAATACAAAATTCATGTAGATGACTGAGAAACATTAAAATGCATGAATGTAAGTTCCCAGTAATCAATAAGATTTTGTATTTTTTCCCATTCATACAATCAATTTTGATTATCCCCATTGCATTTCTTCTTATAGTTTTGAACCTCATTTCCAAAGAAACACAGATATTTCAAACTCAATGTAGACTAAACCAACAATGTTGAGCGTAAACTTTTAATGTTAATCGATATAGACAGACAGCTCGGTTCTGGAAACACCATGATTCATTATCACTCAACCTCGTACGGAACTTTAGTGCTGTTCAAATATTTGTAATTTGATTTTACTGATCAAATATATCATCGTTCGAACGCTCATTTGTTTTTTGTTGTAGATATTTGTGTCAAGGGCCCCTCGTTCCCTTTTCGTAGTGGAACTGGATTA